ACTTTCCTCCACCTTGTCGTGGTGTCCGGGCTTAGGAGCGGTGAAGCGAGGGGGCTATACTGGCGGGGAATCCTTTGATTCCCTGGCAGGGTCACCCATGCCAGGAAGGTCCTTCGCGGAGCTCCTGTACTAAGAGAGGAAATAGAGGAAGGAAAACCTCGAATAAAAACCGGGGGCTCCCAGCCTCGCTTAGCACTTTTTGCCGGTGCAACTGGGATAGGGGAGAAAACCCTGACTTCAAATCCGGGGTGTCCGACTCCGTCAGCCACGGCGCAATCGGACTAGGGGAGTAAACTCTGACTACAAATCCGGGGTGTCCAGCTCCGAGAGGCGCTTTCGGGTCGGCCACTGGACTAGGGGAAGGAAAACCCTGACTTCAAACCCGGGCAGGGCGGGCTCGTTAGCCTTGGCCGGCAACCGTCCTAGGAGAGGCAACTCCAAAATAAAACCAACCTTTGGACAACATGGGAATGTCGCAGAAAAAGGAGAGTAGTTTACTGGGACAGGGGATTCGGACCCCCAATCCCCGGCGTGGTGGGGTTACCGTCCCGGGCCCTGCCACGTCGTCATCATGCGATGGGTTGTTTGGCGCATGTGCCGCAGGTGCGCCAAGCAATAGAGTTACTGCGGGGGCGGGCGTGGAGGTTCCTTCTGCGTCCGCCTTGATTGATAGTGGGGGGGCTCCCTCATCCCCCGTTATGAGGCGTGTCACCCCCGGAAGCGGGGGGCTCCTTCTTCCCCCCTTTTGGGACGTATCACCCCCGGGAGCGGAGGGACTCCTTCCTCCCCTCTTATGGGGCGTGCCATGCCCGGGCCTGGCCCTGAACTACGTTCGGCCCTTGCCCGGGAGCTGATGCGCCCCCCTGGCCGGACGGCTTGGCCTGCGGAGGGGGAGGTNATCAGCCTTTTNGACGAAGACGACGGGGGGGACGTGGAGATGACGCCCTCATCATCTGCCCGATCGTCTGCCGCCCCCAGCCGGCGGAGTTCTGTCACCTCCANNGCCAGCGGCATGGANGTTGANAAAAGGGATGGCCGTGGNAGNCCTCCNACCCACGGCAATTTNGTGGGCTTGGGTCGGGCAAGAGAGGAGAAGAAGAGAAAGAGGATGGCCGCGGCCGAAGCAGACAGGGCCAAGAGGATGGCGACGGAGATGACCTACCTGGACGAGGAAGAAGCGGGGAGAGCGGAAGAGAAGCGTGAGCGCGCCAGGCGCTGTGCCCGTCGCGAGGCCGGCGGATCGGACGGCTCCCTCGCCTCAGACGAGCTCTCCCTTGAGGGTCTCACCACCCCGGAGGTGGCGGAGAAAATAACAAAAGCCATGGAAACGGTCATCATAGTTGCCACCAAGTCCGGGAACCTCAAGGGGGGCTTTGTGAAGGCCCTGAAGGACGCGGCCGCCTGGACCCAAAAAGCGGCCGAAGAGGTTAGGTCCCGCGTCGAGAGGGACGACGAGCTGGGTCAGCTCTCGCGCCAGATGGTCCGCACGCGAGAGGAAAACGAACGGCTCCATAAGGAGCTCCGGGAGCTCAAGGAGGAGCTTGCCTCTCTCAGGGCCGAAGTTGTAGCCCCCTCCCCCCGGGTGTCGCTGCTCCCCCTGCAAATGCAGACACGGGAGCATAGCGGCTCGTCCAGTCTGGTCACCCGGGAAGAGACGGCTAAGATGATAGGAGAGGCGGTTAGGGGCCTCTCCAAACAGATAATTGAGAAGGTGCAATGGGGCATTGGGGCCCAGGTCGCCCGTATGTGGGACAAACTGATGCCCGTCTCCCGCCCGTCACTCGTGTCGGATGGCCCCCGCCCTCTGGCGGCGACTGGAGTTCCACCCCCAGTCGGGGGGCGCGGAGCCAAAAGAAGGGGCAGTAAAGGTGAGGCTCGCCCACCTGCCGCCTCCTCCCGGGACGGTCCTGGCAAGGGGGGCGGTGAAAGCAGGGCTAGCCTGCCCGCCGTCCCCCGCCAAGGTACGAAGCAAGGGGGAGGTCTGACCGTCGAGCGGCCGGCCCCCCAAAGAAAGGAACCGCCGGACGCACTGGCGGCTCGGCCCCCCATTGCGTCCTCCCCCCTCACAGAGTCCTGGACTCAAGTTGTGAGGAGGGGGAGAGGGCGAGGGAAGAGGGGTGTGAGAGAGAACAGAGTCTCCCTTCCACCCAGGCCCTCCCTACCTTCCAAGGCCGCTCAGCAACAACAGCGGCGGCAACGGGGGACGAGGGGAGGGAAGAAGGGGCAAACCTCCCCCCAAACAACGGGCGGGCCGCGTCCCAAAGACTGCGGCCCTTACGGTAAATGTGCCCGAGGGGGGGCCCCTAACGTTGGGACAGGTTATGTCCATGACCCGGAAGTCGATTGATCTTTCGGGCCTGGGCATTGACGGCCTTCGGCCCAAAAGGGCGGTAACCGGGGGCCTCATATTAGAGGTCTCCGGCGAAGGAGGAGCAAACAAGGCGGACAAATTGGCTCAGGCCATGTCCGCCTTGTTCAAGAACGGGGAGGCTAGAGTCTCCAGGCCCGTAAAGACCGCAGAGGTCAGGATCCGGGGCCTGGACGACTCAGTCTCCACCGACGAGGTGGCCGCTGCCCTGGCCAGAGACGGGGGTTGCGCGCCCAAAGAAGTCCGGGTGGGGCCGGTAAAAGTTGCCCCCTCTGGCCTTGGGGCGGCATGGGCGAGATGTCCGGTGGCCGCGGTCCGGAGGCTGGCCGACCTTGGTAAGGTGACGGTCGGCTGGATTCGGGCTGCGGTGGACGTTTTGGAGCAGCGCCCGCTCCAATGTTTTAGGTGCTTCCGGAGGGGACACGTGCGGCAAAAGTGCCCGTACCCCTCAGAGGACCGTAGTGGGCGGTGTTACCGCTGCGGAGAAGCGGGACACGGGGCGGCCCAGTGCACGGCGGAACCGAGATGTCCGCTGTGCTCGGATCTGGGTCGCCCGGCCGGTCACCACTGGGGAAGCCCAGCGTGTGCCCCCGCTGTCCGCAGTGGTAAAAAGAAAGCTCGAGCCTTGGGGGTGATGCCTCTCGGCCCCCCTCTTCTGCGGCTCGGAAAACGCCGGCGGGATCCTCGAATCCTGCCGGAAAGAAGGCAACAGCGGGACCACTGGGCCCCGCTGCAGCTCAGAGAAAGGGCGAAGCGGTGCCGTCGGGGCCTGCTAGTGCCGAGGGGGTTGTTATTCCCCCTCCTAGGGAAAGGGAGGACCTGGAGGAAGAGCCCATGGAAGCCGATTAAATGGCTTCCATCCTTCTCCAGGCTAATCTCAACCACTGCCGTCAGGCACAGGATCTCATGACCCAAAGCCTGGCGGAGTGGGGAAGGGGCTTGGCGGTCGCGGCCGAGCCATATTCGGTCCCTGCTCACCCCGCATGGGCGGGGGACGACGGGGGCACGGTCGCGATCTACAGCGTGTGGAGCCACGATATCCCTGTCTTTACTCTTACTGAGAGAGGACGGGGATTTGTGGCTGGGGAGTGGGGGGAGACCATCCTGGTGGGGTGTTATTTTTCACCCAACAGGCCTCTCTCCGAGTTTGAGGAGTACTTGGATGGGCTCGGCGCTGTGGTTAGGCGCTGGCATCCCCGTCCAGTACTGGTCCTGGAGGACTTCAACGCCAAGTCTGAGACTTGGGGTTCCCCCAGGACGGATGGTCGGGGAGAGGTCCTGGAAGAGTGAATGGCGGTGTGCGGGCTCCAGCTACTCAACCGGGGCTCGCAGCAGACGTGTGTGCGGCAGCACGGGGGGTCGATCGTGGACATTTCGTTCGCGTCCCCGGCTGCCGTGCCGCGTGTGTCCGGGTGGCAAGTCAGGGCGGACGTGGAGACGTTTTCTGACCATCGGTATGTCACCATGGTCGTCTCCACGTTTGGCCCTGGCCACCGAGACCGCCAGGGTGGAAACACCCCACCCCCGCAGGGCTGGGTCCTTAAGAAGATGGACCCAGACGCCTTGGTCGCCGCGGCCCACGTGGTGGCGTGGCTGCCTCCACCGGCCACGCCGCGTGGCCCACGGGAGGAAGTGGAGGGACTCATGTCGGGCATGGTCGATGTCTGTGACGTAGCCATGCCCCGCCGGCGAGGCCTTTCTCCCAGGAGGGCAGTGTACTGGTGGTCGATGGAGATCGCCCAATTGCGCAAGGGTGCGACTCCAGTACACACACGCCCGCTGCCGACCATCAGGCAGCGAGGCCACGTGGGAAAGATTGTATGAGGGCTATCGCGCTGCGGAAAAGGCCCTCAAGGCGGCCATAGTCAGGGCCAAGGCCCAGGCCTGGGACGAGCTCCTCGGGACTCTGAATAGGGACCCGTGGGGGCGTCCTTACAAGGTCGTTATGACTCGACTTCGACCTTGGACGCCCCCGATAACGGAGAGTCTTGACCCCCAACTCCTGGGGCGGGTAGTCGACACCCTCTTTCCTTGCGGGAGGGGGACCTGGCCCGCCCCGGAGGATCCGCCGGACCTAGTGGAGTGATCCGACAAATGGGCGGTCACCGAGGAGGAAATGATCAGGGCCATCCGGAAGATGGCTGAGAGGAATACCGCCCCGGGTCCGGATGGAATCCCTGGTCGAGCCTGGGTCTTGGCCCTTGGGCCCCTGCGGACCCGCCTCAGACAGCTCTTTACGAGCTGCCTAAAAGCGGGATGGTTTCCTCTGGCGTGGAAGCGCGCCAGGTTGGTCCTTCTCCGGAAGGACGGGCGACCGGCGGACTCACCGTCCGCCTACCGGCCGATTTGTCTTCTCGACGAGGTGGGCAAGCTGTTTGAGAGAATAATCGCAGCCCGCCTCGCGAGTCACCTGTCGTAGGCCCCGATCTGGCGGACAGCCAATACGGGTTCCGAGAGGGACGCTCCACCATGGACGCTATCCGGCGCGTGGAGNCCCTCTCGGGGGATGTAACCTGCCGGGGAGGGAAGTTGATTGCAGTGTCTCTTGACATCAAAAACGCTTTCAACTCCCTCCCCTGGGACAGTGTGGAGCGGGCGCTAGACTATCACGGTGTCCCGCTCTACTTAGGGAGATTGATCGGGGATTACTTCCGAGACAGGTGGGTTGAATACTCGAGCCGGTACGGAGAGCCGCGTCGAAAGGAAATGTGCCGGGGGGTCCCGCAGGGGTCGGTACTCGGGCCGCTCCTGTGGGATCTGGGGTACGACGCGGTAGTCCGGGCCGTCCTCCCCGGGGGGATCAGCGTGGTGTGCTACGCTGATCGTAGCCCCCGGGGACACCTGGAAAGACGCGCGGATCCACGCCGAGGTGGGCGCGGAATGCGTCGTCGGTAGGATAAAAAGGCTGGGCCTAACGGTGGCTGCCCAGAAAACCGCGGCCATGTGGTTCCATGGCCCTCGGGGGCGGCCACCCAGGACCAGCCTACAGATAGGTGACGCCAGGGTCGAGGTGGGGGGTACGCTTAAGTACTTGGGTCTCCACCTCGACAGCCGTTGGCGCTTCGAGGGTCACTTTGAGCGCCTCGCCCCCAGGGTAAAACGGGTGGCGGCCGCGCTAGGTCGCCTCTTACCCAACCTGGGGGGTTCAGACGAAAGGGTACGCCGCCTCTATGTCGGGGTAGTTCATTCGGTGGCCCTGTACGGGGGCCCCGAATTGGGCGAAGGTGGCACGGGTCACAGGGTGCGGAAAATTCCATCAGCTCCGCACCGCACAGCGCATCATCACCATGCGCGTGGCTCGTGCTTACCGAACCATCTCCAGAGGTGGAGCGAGCGGTTGCAACGGCATACCGTTGCCGACAGGCGTGTTGTCGGGGCTGTTCGGCCATACCTGAAGGAATGGCTGAACAGACGGCATGGTAGGCTCACCTATCGTCTGGCGCAGGTGCTCTCGGGGCATGGTTGCTTCGAGGAGTACCTGTGCCGGATTGGGAGAAGACCGACGGCGCATTGCCGCGTGTGCGACGCGGCTGTGGACTCAACGCAGCACACGCTGGAGGATTGTCCGGCGTGGGCGGAGGAGTGCCGGGTTCTGGTCGCGTCGCTAGGAGAGGACCTCTCCCTTCCGGCCATCGTGCGGGCGATGGTCGGGGAAAGGGAGAAGTGGGAAGCGATGGCCTCCTTCTGCAAGCAAGTGATGCTGCAGAAGGAGGCCACGGAGCGGGAGCTGGAAAGGGCTCCCGGGAGAGGCAATCCCCCCCTCCCTAGGAGGAGAAGGAGATGTAGAGGTGGACGGGGTGAAGGACGAACGGGCGGCGATGCATGGCCCGATATGGCCGGGAGGAGGGGCATTCAGTCTCCTCCTCGTGCCCGGGCCGGTCGCCCACCTCCACCCTGCAATATGAGGAAGAGGCCGGACGGATGACGGTGAGCCCTGGGGAGAGACACCTTCTCCCTGGGGCAAGAGACGTTTGGGAGATCGGGGCGGTGTCACACTGGGGCCAGTCGGGGGCCTTGCCGGTTTATAGGGCACCGCTCCGGCCTTTTCGGTACGAGCAGTAAGTGGTGGCCGGGAGGAGGAACCGTCCTCCCCCCGGGCAGTTGGCACCACATAGGGTCGAGACCGGACGGAGTGGGGGGCTCCGCCCAGTCCTGCACTTTGGCCCGAGAAGAGGAGGCGGGGAGGAGTGTGCCTCTCCCCGCTAAACTAGGGATTTCGGAGGGGACTCAGATCCCCTCCCGAGAAGTCAGGTAGGCGCGGGAGGGACCCGCGATGAGTCCGAAAGGGGTACCGAATCCTTCCCTCTAACGCGCCGAGTAGGCACACCGTGGGGGTTTTAGCGGGTAAACCCTCCCCACCTCCCAAGGTGGGAGGGGAGTCCCACATAACCCCGGCCATCTCCCCCGAGGCCAGGGTATCCATCAAGGATTT